CAGTGGTTCGAATCCCTGCGACGGGGTGAGTTCTCATTGCTCTGCCCCAGCTCCTGCCAACCTACCAGTTTGAAAGCACACCAGTGCAAGTAGATAAATAGGTACCGCTGCGGCGGGAAGGTAAACGGTGTTTCTGTGTGTTCTGGTTTCCGTCACAGTTTCATTGTGCCAGAAGCGGTTTAGTCATGGCCACATGACCCAGAAAGCTGTCTGTGGACAAACACCGGTTTCCTCGGCCTGAAAGCGAGATGAGCGCCACAACCCCATAGTCACCTTTGACTGGACTTAACCATCCAGGGGTCCTTTACCTTTTACCTTTTTTTTAAGACCCTGACAAATCATTCTTCTGTTCCTACTTTATCATGGGCTGAGGCTGCAATCCAAAAAAGCACATGAGAATATCTGCCAGGCTAAAACTGAGTTCTCGTTTCCAGTTCCTTATTCCCATAAAAGTTCAAAACAAGGCTGAATGGGCAACCTGAATAAAGAACTGGAGTTGATACATATGTGTCCCTGGGCTGCAGAATGAGCTTTAGGCAGTCTAATGAGCTTCCTTGACTGAGAAACAGTTTCCTTCAAGATCCGCAAGAATTCTCTCCAATCCAAACAGCTAGGCTTGGCGTGCTTGTTGTTTCACAATGCTCTTGACCATTGCAAAGAAGGAACTGAGGGGTGGGGTGCAAATTCTAAACTAGGTTTTGGGCTACCAAATATAATACACTCCCATCTCCAGAAAACTGCTCACATCAGCTGGCTCAGTGGACTCAAGCCTCCTATCCAAACAGAATTTCAAGATACATGAGAATTTCCTAGGCAAACTGTTTTGCTGTGCTGGCTGGTGTGGGTTGTCTGCCTGCTTGTGGGGTAAAAAGGTTGAATTGTGCAGAAATGTTGACGAGGAGTGTGCTTGTTGATAGCCCATGTCTCTGTAGTCAAGCTACAACAGATAGAAGGTCAACATAACACTGACTCGTCAAGCCATAGATAAGCCTCCTGTTGACCACGACTGACACCCCATATCTCCACATTGTGAAAATGAAGGAGATAATAGTACAGCAAACACTGCTTTGACTCCATGCAGTGATAAGGCCAAGAACGCAGGTCAAAGCTGCCCACCAGGCCTGACTCATCTCCTGTGCAGGGAAGTGTTGGGTGCAAGGCATATAAAGCAACAATAGAATCATAGAATCATAGAATCATAGAGTTGGAAGAGACCACAAGGGCCATTGAGTCCAACCCCCTGCCAAGCAGGAAACACCATCAGAGCACTCCTGACATATGGTTGTCAAGCCTCTGCTTAAAGACCTCCAAAGAAGGAGACTCCACCACACTCCTTGGCAGGAAATTCCACTGTCGAACAGCTCTTACTGTCAGGAAGTTCTTCCTAATGTTTAGGTGGAATCTTCTTTCTTGTAGTTTGGATCCATTGCTCCGTGTCCGCTTCTCTGGAGCAGCAGAAAACAATCTTTCTCCCTCCTCTATGTGACATCCTTTTATATATTTGAACATGGCTATCATATCACCCCTTAACCTCCTCTTCTCCAGGCTAAACATGCCCAGCTCCCTTAGCCGTTCCTCATAAGGCATCGTTTCCAGGCCTTTGACCATTTTGGTTGCCCTCCTCTGGACACGTTCCAGTTTGTCAGTGTCCTTCTTGAACTGTGGTGCCCAGAACTGGACACAGTACTCCAGGTGAGGTCTGACCAGAGCAGAATACAGTGGCACTATTACTTCCCTTGATCTAGGAGCTATACTCCTATTGATGCAGCCCAGAATTGCATTGGCTTTTTTAGCTGCCGCGTCACACTGTTGGCTCATGTCAAGTTTGTGGTCAACCAAGACAGGCCCAGCCTGTCTGTCCAGGCCCCATTATGCACTTTGTTACAGTACAGTGGTACCTCGGGTTACAGACGCTTCAGGTTACAGACTCCGCTAACCCAGAAATACAGTGGTACCTCGGGTTAAGTACTTAATTCGTTCCGGAGGTCCGTTCTTAACCTGAAACTGTTCTTAACCTGAAACACCACTTTAGCTAATGAGGCCTCCTGCTGCCGCCGCGCCGCCGGAGCACGATTTCTGTTCTCATCCTGAAGCAAAGTTCTTAACCTGAGGTACTATTTCTGGGTTAGCGGAGTCTGTAACCTGAAGCATATGTAACCTGAAGCGTATGTAACCCGAGGTACCACTGTACCTCGGGTTAAGAAATTTACCTCAGGATAAGAACAGAAATTGCGCAGCGGCGGCACGGCAGCAGCGGGAGGCCCCATTAGCTAAAGTGGTACCTCAGGTTAAGAACGGTTTCAGGTTAAGAACAGACCTCCAGAACGAATTAAGTTCTTAACCTGAGGTACCACTGTACTTCCCAATTCCTAGAATCCTCTGTAACATGAAAGGATTCCTCACAATGCTTCTCCAGGCCATGATGGCCCTTGATGAGTTGTGAGACCTGCCCACGATACAGCTTTTCCTAAGGCATCGTGGGAAATTTAAATGGCAGCTCTCAGATTCAACTGATCAGAGTCCTTCTGTTGCCTGACAAGCCTGATGAGGTTGGGAACTGATGCTGAACAGCCAGAACCCAAATAAAGGAAGGTTTATATGGTATTAAACATTAAATAATGTCAAATGTCCTAAAAGTTAAGAATAAGGGCCTAGCGCTTTGTGAGTAATCACACTGCCTCATTTGTACTCACTGGGCAAAATACTGTGAGCAAGTTTAGGCGCAACAAAAAAGCCAAGAGACAGAAGTTTTCTTTTTGTTTTCTAAATGAAAACTGAAAATTCACAGAGGGTGGACTGAGCTACGGGACTGACCCCCCATGGGCCTCCAAGGGGTTACAGTCCAGAGTTTAGTCCTGTCCCTAACACAAGAAGGAAATTTGATAAAAATTAAGTTGTTTATGTAAAGGAAGTAAACATCAACTTGTCCGTTTTTTCACACACCAGTGCCTAACATGGACGTGCTGAATATAGCTACATCTTGCTAGAGCAGCTCCATTTCTATTATTCCCAGGCCTGGCAATGCCATGAGGAATGGCTCATTGCTTGCACTTTGCTTCCTGCTGTGCTGTCTTCCTTTAGCAAGCCCTTTCTTCAATGACTTGCCATTAGTTTGAGAAATCAGGGGTGTTTTACAAAACCAGGGCACTTTTGATGGGCTATGGATTGAGGACAAGCATGCCTGATAGTTTACTCAATGGGGATCAAAGAGAAAGAGGATCCGGACATAGGAAGTTCTGGGTGGCCTTGTTTGCGTCTGGGTACTTAGATAGATAGCTAGAAATTGTCCCTGCATAATTAAATCTGTTGTCCCTTCCTCCACCAATCAATTTCCCAATGAGAACAAATCCTCCACAGCTGTCACAGCAGCGACTTCCTAGATTCTTGAAGGAGAAACGCTCAATATTGTCTTTAAATAGTAAAACAAGTGTCATGGGAAGCAGCCTATACCAGCTCTGCATTTTTGGAAATGCTCTCCTTACAGAATCATAGAATTGCAGAGTTGGAAGGGGTCCTGGGGGTCATCTAGTCCAACCCCCTGCAATGCAGAAATCTCAGCTTGAGCCCAGCCAGGCTGTACAATCTCAAATGGCGAGTGGAGTCTGAATGGTTGACTTCCTATAGTGCCTTCAGTACATATGGAGGTTTTCCCCCACAAAGCAGGACACTTGCCACTAGGAGCAAGCAATCAGAAATTTGAGAGAGGAAAGAGAAGCAGTGGTAGCAGTAAGAGAAAATATTTTAAAAATTTAATTATGTTTATATTCTGCCTTTTGTCGTCAAAGGAACGCAAGGTGGTGTACAGAGTTCTCCTCCCCGTTGTATTCTCACCACAACCCTGTGAGGTAAGTTAAGCCGAGAGTGCATGACTGGCCCAAGGTCGCCCAGTGACCTTTATTGCTGCCTGTGTTATGCACACTTAGGCTTTGTTTTACCCTGGAGGGGAGGATTGGATATGTGTGGAATTTACCCATCATTTTTAGCAACAGAGAGAGCCTGAGTGGTGAAGCTACTAGAACAGGTGTGGCTTGCCTTTTGCAATGCCTTCTGGGCAACCACTGAAGGGTCATGTGCCAATGGTGAGCAGGGCCAGCAGCCAAAACTGGCAGAACAACAGAAACAAATAATAATAATAATAATAATTTTATAATTTATATGCTGCCCACCTGACTGTGTTGCCCCAGTCACTCTGGGCGGCTCCCAGCAAAATAGTAAAAACACAATAAAACATCAAACATTAAAAACTTCCCTAGTCAGGGCTTCACTATACATGCCCACACCTCCCACTCTCTGTATCCTCCCTCTAAGACAAGCGAGAAGCAGTACCAGAACTCAAGGACATATTCCAGCCAGGCATAAACACCCAAGGACTGTGTGAAGCAAGGCCGGTGAGAGGGAGAGTCCTGAGAACCAGACAGAAAACATCCACATTTGGCTCTCAGGCCTGTGATTAGCCACCCGAGTTAGAATGCAGCATTAGGAGACACATGTTACACTTCAGATGCCATCAGCCCAGCCAGCATGGCCTGTGGTGGTTGATGATGGAAGTTGTCACTGTTGGCATCCGTCTGTCTTAGGAGACAAAAGAGGAGTGCACCTTTGGCTGGAGAGTTACAGCAACTGCTGTAGCTGTAGGTACTGATACAGGAGAGACATATTTTGTTGTAGCTGGGGCAGATGAAGACGTCTGGTTGTGCCGCTGCAGATGCACCATGGCCTTTCTTCTCTCTGTGCTCCTCCCAGCGGTCGTTCCTCTTCTGGTCACTGCTATGGAAGCATGACCTGACTGTCTGTCTCAGGCACTGCAGCCGGTTCCAAGGGCTTCCCACATAGCATGGCTAATGTTGCCAGCCTTCATGTCTTGTTTGCAAACATCTTTGCAACGTAGAGTTGGTCTGCCAATGGACCTGGTGCCAGAAGCCAGCTCCCCAAAGAGCAAACCGTCTTCCATTCTGTGGACATGTCAACATGATGGAAGTTGAAACAAACTAAAAAAATTCCTTCCAGTAGCACCTTAGAGACCAACTAAGTTTGTTATTGGTATGAGCTTTCGTGTGCATGCACACTTCTTCAGATGCACATGAAAGCTCATACCAATAACAAACTTAGTTGGTCTCTAAGGTGCTACTGGAAGGAATTTTTTTAGTTTGTTTTGACTACAGCAGACCAACACAGCTCTACCTGTAACTAGAATGATGGAAGTTGTAGTCTAGCAACATCCAGAGATAAATGGGCAATCCACGTTCACAGAGTTGTTGTAATGATGGGAGCAGGGGAGAACATTGCATGAACATTGCCATGAGCTCCTGAGTGAAAAGGTTTAAAAGCATTTAAAAAATAAACAAACCCTGCTTAGCTGTGGTGAGGCCGGCTCTCAACCTAACCAATCTCACAGGGTTGTTATCAGGCTAAAACAGGGCTCTTTTGTCCTTGGAGAAAGGGTGAGATACAACTGTGGCAAATATTTTCAGATGCTGAGAGCTGGGGATATGTTAAGCTGTAAAAAGTTAATTCATGCAATCTCTGTTAATGTAGTTAATCAGATAATGCACACAATCTCTCTCTGATGTTTACAGTACCCTTCCAAATCTCACTGAAGATCTATGGTGTAATGAGCTTGTCTGGGTTTCTCATCAAACATTATTATGAGTAGACACATGTACGATGCACCCTTTCCTTGGTTTGATTTTTAATCATGTGAGCTACTTGCAAAAGAATCCCCCTGGCTTACAGCCAACTGCGAAAAGCAGCCCTTGTTAAACCAGTCCTGCAGACTGGAGACTGTCTTTGGTATTCAACTGGGCAGAAAGAGTTCTTAGTTAACCGGAGTGAAACCAGATATTTTGGAGAAGGAAGTGATAAAGTGGGGAACTTTGGAACAGAAGGTCACATTCTAGTCTCCTATTAGAAACCAGAACAACCTGTCACATATTTTCTTAATTATCATACTGTGGAAATATTAACAGGCTAGTTCGGCAAAGAGGCACTCTTATTCTTTCTAAAATGAATGCTCAAGTCAATGATAGCTCTCTCTCATGTTCAGATCCAGTGGAGAGCTGTTTGGCAGTAGGTTCTGAGCTGACAAAGGGAAGTACTTCCCCCCCCCCAACCACTAAAAGTTATGAGGGTGCCTCCAGACTGTCAGTATTTTGCAAGAGGGATTCAAGCACATTCCACAACTTTAGGATTTAATGTTTAAAGTGGATTAAAGTGCTCTGTTGCCTTAGCACAAAAATGAACCCACTTTTTTTAAAAGACTTTTTTTTGTTTGGAAAGTGATAGGAAAAGTGTGGGATGAATGACTGATTAATGGGGAGATGTGTAAACACCCTGCAAGTATTTCAGGATATGAAATTCAATTTTAGTTCTGTAATTATATTTCAGCTTTCAAATTGCTTTGCAGTTGGAGTCTTTTAGAAGTTTCTGCTTGCAAGCTTCCCACAGGCAGGTGTGGGTAGCTCAATCGGTAGAACACAAGACTCTTAGCCTCAGGGTTGCGAGTTTGAGCCCCACGTCGGGCAAAAGCTTTCTGCATTTCACGGGGTTGGGCTAGATAACCCTTTGTGCTCCCTTTCAAGTCTACAATTCTGTGATTCTAAGCTCATTGTCATAGAACCACCCAGTAAACAAATCAGAATGCATGCTCAATAAAGACTGGACATAGGCTGTGTATATACAGCCATTTACTCTGAATGCACTGCACTCCCATCACTGGTTTGCGAAGTGGTGTATAAATAACATTAGCTGCAATCCATAGCTATGATGTTATTTCTTGTGCTGTCCTGCACCCCACCCTCAAAAAACTAGCTTTGATCTGAATTGTTTTAAAAGTTGTACACTGCCTTGATATCTTTTGATGAAGGGTGGTATATAAATTGAAATAATAATAATAATAATAATAATAATAATAATAATAATAATAAAAACAACTCTGGAATTCCCTCCCACAGGAAGTAGTGATGGTCATCAACTTGGATGGCTTTAAAAGGCTTATCTTCCATCTATCTGAATGGGTGCATGTGGATGTTGTGTGCAGGGCATAAAGGTAAAGGGACCCCTGACCATTAGGTCCAGTCGTGGCCGACTCTGGGGTTGCGCCGCTCATCTCGCTTTACTGGCTGAGGGAACCGGCGTACAGCTTCCGGATCATGTGGCCAGCATGACTAAGCCGCTTCTGGCGAACCAGAGCAGCGCACAGAAACGCCGTTTACCTTCCCACTGGAGCGGTACCTATTTATCTACTTGCACTTTGACGTGCTTTCGAACTGCTAGGTTGGCAGGAGCAGGGACCAAGCAACTGGAGCTCACCCCGTCACGGGGATTCGAACCACCGACCTTCTGGTCGGCAAGTCCTAGGCTCTGTTATTTAACCCACAGTGCCACCCATTTTGCATTGGCTCCTCCTGCACATTGCTGGCATGCAGCCCCAGGAAAGTTAGCCATAAGGGAATGCAGTGCAGCCCTTGTATTAAACCACTTAAAGTCTCCACTGTAGATATGCATATTCTCTTATTAAAATCACCCCAGAGCAGCTCGTCAATCTTTGAAATATCCATCAGTCGCTAACAGATGAAAGATGGCCCTCCCAGAACAGCAGGCTTATTTTCATCGCCAGTGAAACACTTCTGCATTCTCAGGCTGACTCATCTCTCCTTACTTCATCTGCAAGAGAACTCTTTCAAAGGGAGCTAATTGTCACTCTATGATGAGGGTCTGCCACCTTGCCTGTGCCTGGTGGACTGGCAGAGAGTAAAATGTTCCCATTGTCATCTCTGTCAATACATAGTTCCCTAATAACCTGCAAGGAAATATTCTGATGGGTCCCTGTTAAATACTCCAGACTGGGGTCTGCATTGTGCTGACAGATGAAAGGCAGAGGCATTGAGGTGCCTTTTTCAGAGGGAAGAGACAGAGAAGGGAAAGCGCTGCAAGCCATTTCATTCATTCTCAGCAAAGGAACTGTGTACACCAGGAAGAAAGGTTGCCCGCTGTAGCCCAAAGCCAAACAAAATATAAAAAAGTACACAGCTGGCAGTGTGCTAGAAAAAAGGAGAGAAAAATATATAGAAGCACTTAGCATTTGTATTTCACATTTACGGTGCACAAAGTGCTTCAGAATGCATACACTGGTCCAATGCGCATGCCACAATAAACCAGTTTCAAACAAATGATGGTTTTAATGTGAACAAGCAGCACAGTGCACCCTGACAAAAGATTATGCAGTGATCTTTTTCTGCTTCTCCTCGCTCTGCAGCTGCACTGTTGATGAAACATGCCAGAGTTTGGCATATTGTGTCATCTGAATCCAGGTTTTGATTTGCCTCCCCAAAACAAAGCAAGAACAAACCTTGGTTGCTGGTTGTGATTTGTCTGGAGGAAACAAACCATGGGCCCTGGGTTCAGATGAAACATCAATTTCAATTCAGGCTTGTTTCAACCATGGCGCAGCAGGAGTTGGGGACAGTCTAGCCTCATCAACCCACTTTCTTTCTCCCACTTTAAAACCATCCTATTTCCTTCAAACCCATTTTCCTCCCTCACTTCACCGGCTAAGATAACGTGTGTCTCTTTGTATCAAAGAACAGTGTCAGGCTTGACCTTTGGGGAAGGACCATAGCTCAATGGTAGTACAGTGGTACCTCGGGTTACAAACGCTTCAGGTTACAGACTCCACTAACCCGGAAGTAGTACCTTGGGTTAAGAACTTTGCTTCAGGATGAGAACAGAAATCGTGCAGTGGTGGCGCGGCGGCAGCGGGAGGCCCCATTAGCTAAAGTGGACCTCAGGTTAAGAACAGTATCAGGTTAAGAACGGACCTCCGGAACGAATTAAGTTCTTAACCAGAGGTACCACTGAATAGCGCATGCTCTGCATGCAAAAGATCCCTGGTTCAATCCCTGGCATCTCCCAATAATTCTGAGTAAGACTCCTTTCTAAACACCCTGGAGAGCCACTGCCAGTCAGTGTACAATGCACTGCACCAAACATATTAGCTGATAACGCATGTTCTGAAGTTCAGATTCAAAGAATACATGGGTTTTTCTTTTCTTTTTAACTTTACAACCATTGGAAAAACCACAGGCTGCTTGATATATATATAAATATAGTGATTAGCACCTTCTCAATCACTCAATAAGCAGAGTGGTTTTGATGTAATCTTTGGATGGTATCCAAAACACCTATATAAACTGCTGTTGCTAAGGCCTGGCAGCATTTATTGCTTGTGAGATAGCCTTGTGTCTGCTCCAGCTTTTAGAAAGTCTTAGCAATGAATTTAATAGTCGTTGGAAATGCGCATCTAGATTAGATGCGGCCAGTTAAGGTACCTAAAAGGGAAAAACCATGAAAGTACTTGTCCAGTTTGTTGATTTAGTATATACAAAGCAGATTGGCCAGGAGTCAAAAATGCCTGCTCTTTTTCTTTGCTTGTTTCTACAAGATCAGCTGGCTTCTCCTGCCTCAATATTCTCAGGAAGAATGTTTGTGATGTACACTGTCAAATACAGAACAACCATATATACAGATGTATAGACAGATAGATATAGATATCTTTTTTAAAGCCCCCGCTAAAAAGTTTTTGAAGTGTATTCTTTCTTAGCAAGAAATAAACTCAAGAGTATGCAATCCAGTTTGGCTTGGCTTTTTTATTTTTTAACGAAAGCAAAAAATAAATTCAGTTAATTCCAGGAGGAATGTCTGTAGTTTAAGGGTTGTCATCTTTCTTCTACAGCTTCAGCCCTGTGCCTTTAAGAGCAACCATTTTGCAAAGTGTGGTGATTAGCAAGTGGTAAGACCTCACTCCACAGCTTCTGCTACCAAGACACAGGATGCAGGTGAGATCTTTCTTGTTTTATCTTTATGCCTCAAAAGCATTTCCTCTATCATTATCGTAAACTACTTGGAGCAATCTATAAATTTTGTTAAATAATAAATACATTCATTGGTTTGCATAAAGCACAGTGGCAGGGCTTTAAAAAAAAAAGATTGCAGTCTGATGTCTGATCATATACCTTTCAGCATATCAAGGCAATAAACGGGATGCCGCCTTGTGGGGATTCATCACATGACCCACATGAGGTGAAGTGAGATCATGGCGCCCAAAATGGCTGCCATGCAAACCCAATGGAGGGGGCT